GGGAGAGAGAGGGGGGGGAGAGAGAGAGGGGGGGAGAGAGCGTGCGCGCAAGTAGGTGAAAGAGCTGGGTCAATTCTAATCGGTACAGATAGGGTAGGGAGGCGGTGGGAGGGGGGGGGAAGGGGAGGTGAGGTGAGGTGAGGAAGAATGGAGGATTGAAAAGAAGGTGAGTAGGGTTGAAATAGAATTATTTCATGGATGGATAAGTAGGACACACGTGAATTATCCACTAGCAACGATTGAATAATGTAAGAAATTCTGTTCCGCTTGGTGAGCCAATCTGAAGCTTTAGCTACTCCATCATTCCAGCTTGATTTGTAAGAATAAAGTGAATGACAGGTGCTGTGCACGATTAATTTGCAGCTATCAAGAGTTGTTTACCTTCAAATATAAATTCTCTCCTGACATGAAATCTACTAATTTCTGATGAGTTGTACTTATGTTGTTTTATGTTAAATAAAACTCATTATGCGAAATCACGTTTTATTTCCTTTAGAATAATGGCAATAATAAGCGGTTCTTATTCAGTCGTTGCGATAAACATGTATGAAAAAATTCTAGCATCGCGGGTCTGTAAGTTTCCCCACTCGAGTTGAATAAAGGCACCCAAAAATGCTTCCCACCAAACCGCCCCTATTTAAAATAATCACAGACTGTGCACTTGTGGGCCAATATTTGAACCAACATTCTACCCGCTATATTTAGTAACCTACGTAGCCAAGCAATAGATGGGAGATTTTCCCTCCAATATCAATCAGTGTTAACCAGTTATATACCATTTGTAGGAACCGGATGTACACGGTATGCGCACTTAATTTATTGGCTGGAGAGGTTCGTTGGCTTTAAATAGCTATATCGTCCTCCCTTCCAGTTCCCAATAACTACCAGACTACTGCGGATATCCGCCACCACCGGCGCCGCCGGCGCTGCTGCTGGGTGCGATGTGCATCGATGCGTGGCGTTAATTGGTGGTGGAGGTAGTGTGTGGAGAGAGGGGATCATCTGGCGTGGTTGGTAATTTTTTTAATACTGTGGTGCTTTAATCGATTCTACTAAGAGCCGATCGATTTGAAGCTGGTCAAAGGCTGGAGTATGAAATAAGTGAAGTTACTTGGGAATGCTCTTGGCAAGAGCAATAAGAGTGGACCAGGTTGACTTTTGTCGTAACAGTGTCCTCTAGGATGACAATAATATCAAACGACTTGGTTTTCATTAACTTCGCGCCATCCTTGCTCAAAATTTTCACAAAATACCTAGTAACACTTCTGATAATGTAGTTATTCGATATGCCATTTTCATATTTTTTAGCTTTATGGTGCGACCAAAAGTCACTAATGCACCCCTAAGTCATATAGTAGTAATAATTTTAATCTATCACCAATGATAATTGCACCCAGTGACAGAGGTGGGTTAAGGTATTAGCATGAAAAATACCAAGTCTAGTAAATTGTGATTAGAGTGAAAGGTTAATGATTCATAAATGAATGGTTTTTGAATAAGCTAATTAAACACAACAGAGATATATCCAACTTGATCGTTGATGATAACCAAACCTTAGGACGTTCGAGCCTTCAAGATTTTCTGCGCCTTTCAGGCTCTCGACAACTTTTGATTCAGACGCAGATTAATAAGATCAAGCATTAATTTGTACTATCACTATAGACCTACACCCTGTTATTTAACCAACAAACTTAACGGGTCAACTGTTTGCCAACACGTATCTCCAGACCAGAGTCTTCCAGATGAGAAGACGAAGTTCTGCATTCTGCATACATAACTAAGTGAGCTAACTACAAACGCTAATAACTTTAACACCTTTTATAATCTTGACCTTCTTTGTATAATTAAAGATAGCATAGATAGCCAAGGGGGGGGGGAGGAGAACAACAGATAAGTCGAATTTCAAATAATCTTTTTCTTCAGTCACAAAACTAACAAAATGATATCACCACATCATCATTCGAATATCAATTTAATACGCAGAGAGGAAGTGGAGAATTTCGAACTTGAAGATGGGGTTTGGGTGGGGGGGGGGGGGGGGGGGGGGGGGGNATGGTAGGGGGTTGGCAAATGACGATACAAGGGAAAAGTTAAGACGAACATCGAGAGAACTACTAGGGCAACGTACCCATGGTGGTTGCAATGAAAAAAAAGAGAGCATTGAATAAGGGTAGAAAGTGAAAGAAATCAGTGTCGTAGAAAGACTTGGCTTTTCGTAAAACGAACAATGGGCGCATAAATAGGAGTAGGTATAAACAGTTAGACGGAGTCTCAGTCTTGGGAAAACTGTGTACATACTTTACTTCAATGAAGCTATAAGACAGAGAATCTACAAGTCGTCGTGGTCATCCTCAACGTACTTAGTAATCTTATCTATATATATTAGGAGAATGGCGTATGGAGGAATGAAAGTATAACTGAAGAAAATAAGGGTAGCAAAAATAGAGATAGTGAAAGAGTGCTAAGCAGTGAGATAGGGAAAAATGAATGAGTACAAGTGATTAAGAGCCAACGAAAATTTGAGTACGGGCACGTCATGCAGTAGTTCAGGGCAAAGGAAGCCCGGTTTGATCACAGCCAAAGCAGAATGAGTGTGGTAAACACCGCTCATAGGAAGACTAAAAGATGTCAGGACATCGTGACCAATCTTGTTTAGCCTTCATTGTCCAATAATCCCCATTGAACTTGTGGCAGTCTTCATCGGTGTACGTGTCATGGATGGGAGAGAACCATACTGGTTTATAGGGCGGACCGAGTTCGGGATCGAGAGGCTCTTCTATAAATTCCGCAAGAAACGTTATTAAAATTTCAAACTACCGAAATACTTTAAGTAGTAGATTATGCTTCAACTCACCTCCAGCCTCAAATAAGTCCCAGGCTCTTCGCTTGCGTCGTTGTTTTACTTCCAAACGTTCCTTCTCAGTGTTTGCTTCGTCCCATTGCCCCAGCTCCATAAGCCGTTGATCGGGTCGAAGGCGAGAATCAGTGGGAGCTACTCCATCCTCTGGCTCGTTTAACTCAATAGCGAACTTATTGAAATTGTACATCTACAAGGATCAGATGAATTGAATAAATACTCCTCAATTCAATAAATTAATTTGGGCGATCATAATTACATAAATATATATTAATTCCACAAATTTATTAGATTCGAGCAATGATTAGCTCCTATGTATTGACTGTTTTTATTCCAAATAAGCTACCAATCAGCTCCCAATTAACACTCATGACAGTTAAGATGAAGTCTGATAAGACCACTTCGCAAAGTCTGGGTAATAAGTGAAAAGTTCGCTGTTTAATTAAATACGCACCATTAATCAAATATGGTAAAGTAAAGTTAGTCTGTATTTTTTTCATCTAAGCCCCCCAAAAAAAACTCGGCGAACATGATTATTTGCTTCTTACATGGTAGTAAAGCGCTTCACACTGGTATACCACTGGTTAACCATGTAGACAATAAATTCTAAACACCTATGTTGAGTTGTACCTTCTTAACAATGTACCGAATAGAAATGGTGTTTACAAGTTCTCTCCCCCCCCCCCGTCTACCCCATGAGTCGGAGCAACTGTAGTCGTAATACACCTAGATCATATAAGCAGCTACACATAGCCGTGTAATTTTACTACATCCAATCAATTCACGAATCTTCATGGAAGGTGCCCTTGTTGATTGCATAAGATCAACTGCTACCTTAATTGGTTATTCGATTTATTCCAAATTGTTTTACTTCGTCCCCTGCGTGTGGGTCATTCATCAGCCCATTTACCAGCATTACGTAATGACCATGGTAGTAAAGGCAGAAAATCTTCAAATTGACCCGATTAAATGATTATTTCAAGCTCTGCATTGGAATTTCTTAAGCTAGAACTCCTCTTCTGAAATAGTCTCTCAATGCTGTCTCACCTCAAAATTACTGAATCCCCATCGAAAGTTTTAATTTTTAAAGTTTCACCACGCGCACTCAATAGCAAATGAATAAATTCAAAAATGTCCACTTACAGAGTCAGAATTGGCCGAAGGGGGTTCCACAATGAGGAGGACCTTGGGAGGTTCAGTGGGATTGCCTTCTGGATCCACCCGACCACCCTTTACTTCACTATCCCATGTGCCAGTCAGTTTGTACACCAAAGTGTCCGAGGGGTCGAAGATAGAGCCAGTGACCTTGACAAATAGGAGAAAAGAGAACACAAGTCGTAAGAACGTGTCTGTCTGAAAAGGACAGCAATTGTATGGGTATCCGAAGGGTAAAAAAGAGTTCCTGGAAGACCCAGAGAAAAATACCAGCCAAATAGAAATTCGAAAAGATAAAGAAAGGCGCATGACAGAAAACACCAAGACAAAAGCTGTTCACATAAAGCCCTCAAGTGAATCAATAATTGCTCCACCAGTATTCGATTTAAAAATAAATTGAGCGTAAATTGGAAATAGACGTGCTTTTAGTCGTCAGCTAATTTTAATCTGTGTAGCCAATTGGGTTGGGTGATAGTCTATGGATAGTCTATGGTAACTCGAAGAAAAAGACCTCAATTATAATGTGTTGAGAGCCTGTGGGTGGGGACGTATTCAAATACGAACACATGGAAAGTAGAAAAAAAAACGAAAACTCTCGTTGCGTAGATATCCTTATAACTGCCCTCAAAATGAAAACAATCAACAAACAGATGGTGGGCACTAGAAATTTGGAGATCAGAGAAAAAATGGGACAAAACTGAGACAAATAAAGGTCAATTAACGATCTATTAGAAAACTCACTGATAAATTCTTCTATCGAACAATGCAATATCATTAAGCAGACCTTGGTGTATAAAGACGTGTGGTTTTAAGATTTAACTTGAGGAACATTTGAAATAACAAATGAATATAGTCCTTCCGAATATTTTAAGCCGAGTAGAATTGTCACCCCTGACAACAAGCATTTCGTTAGAATACACGCATTATTGTATAAATATATTAATAAATTATCTATTTGTGACATTGTCTCTGGGTCTATTTGCGTTGGTCCCAACATGTTAAAAAGAGGATGACCTTCACATTCTAAATAAAGCATTTCTTCAAGAATTGAAAAGCTTCCCTTTTCCAATTGCAAAGAACGAAACAACAAACAACAGTAATTACAGGCGTAGAAGTAAAACTGTCGGTTCCCTATAGTACTACTTAAATGCCATTTCAGTAACGCGCACTTACCATTCGGTCAGGATCTCGGGAGAAGTAGGAATGAGCTAGATAGCGCATACGACAGGTGTGGTTTGTGTTGTGGTTCTTGATGGTAGTTTCGCCGTGAATCTCAGCCCACAGACGACCCACAATAATGTTGTGCACTGTGATCGTTACCTTGGACCAAGTGAAGTGCTGACCATCTTTGAAGACCAAGTGAGTACCACCTAAAGAAAATTAAAAAAATAAACCTTAGTTGTTACGGTACAAGAACCCGTGCAATTTATAAGTGGGAAATATTGCCCCTGGGGACCTGAAAATGAGTAGCTTATCTTTTATTGCCTAGGCGTGCAAAAGGCAAAGCAAGCCAATACACCAATAAAAAATTTATTTAAACAAACTTTGTGAAGTGAAATATGATGGAGTTGGAGATTCCGCCATTAAAAAAATGGGTTGTCTTTCAGTTCAATTAGAATAAATGCTAAGAAAACAATGAATCTTCAACCGACTATTAATTTTAGGAAACTATCAAGGTCCTTCTTTTACAAAACACACACACACACAGCTTGGTTCACCAAAAATTGATCACAAATAACAAAGAGATGTAAGACGGTAAAATAAATTCAAGTCAAGGAGCAAATCGCGTGCGTTTACTCTGTGCCAAACCAGAAATCATTGCCCATGATAAAGTTATCTGAGGACAAATATGAACAGACAAAGAAACTGGGAACGTAAAATAATCTCTCTCTCTCTTCCCCAAAAGTGGCATTGAAAAAAAAACTGCAGGAATGCGCACCCCTAGACCAAAGAACAAGGTTACTTTTGGAGTGTCCACACCTGGAGAGTATTTATACGTCACAACTACAAAATGGCCTGATCGATCCTTCATGCACTCTCAGAGAGATTGGAGCTTTTCTCGATCGTCCGCTTGGACTTTAATTCGATTTCACATCCAATTTAGGGCCACCTGAATGTCAATTTACACTTTTATTTCCTAATGACTCGTTTTCACTTCTTTAAACACACACGTTCAAAGAGCGCAATACTTGGATCATCAATTGCTTGCAGTCTTTTACACTATGCTCTAAACAACTGACTAAATTTAAAATAGTATTAGTGAGTGCTTCGCAACACTCAAATTGAGTAAAGGGAAGGTATTATAGAGTCACTACTTCAAGAAACACGCATTCTGTTATCTCTCCCTCTCTCTCGTTGACCATAACCAATGAGATTGACCATTCACGAAGATAAATGCATGCGGATGGTTATGAACGTGTGATCACTAATTTGTTAAAGGTGAATGATGGACAATACCCCATAGGGACACAGTTGTACCAAGACACGTAATAATACCCTCTATTTCACATCCATTTAGTTCGCATTCAGTGCATCTTACGGAAGCCTCCATTGGCTTTCGATTAGCTTGATCGTCCAAGCAAAAATTAAGCTGACCCCTCCCCCCCCCCCCCCCCCTATCGTAATTTATATAAAAGATGAAAATTTAGAGGCAAACATTCCCCCACTCTTCAAAACAATGGTCTGCGTTGACTTTTAAGGAGTCGTTATATTACATCAGAAAACCATCACAGAACTAGCTTCCCCAATAAAGTCGGTCTAACGTAATCCAACCCCACGCCCCCTATATGTCTGTTTAACCTTACCCAGTTACGTACACCAAAATAGAAATAAATGTCATCTTTCTAAATTGGCTGCGGCAATAAGAATTGCATGCATGCTAGCGCAAGAAATTACCTTTAGGCACAAGGGAAAGATATTTGCCACGAAATTTGCTGTCGACCGTAAACTCCTGCCAGAATTTCCAGCCATGTCTTATGGACTCGCAGTAATGAGCCACAACCGGGGGATGGTGACTGACCTATTCGAAGAGAATTGGCAAATATCACATTAAAAATTGAACATCCAGGTATTACACGAGGAAGTATGGAAGAAGTGAGGGTACCTGTTCAGCGAAACTGCGCCAACCAAAGTCATCGGATCGGTCACATTCATAGGTCTCACCAAGAAGGGGATTGAAAGGTTTGCTCATACGGACTGCAGTAGTAGCATAGGAGGATACTGAGAAGGCTGCAATCCAAGCCATACGAGTCACTGGGTCTGAGACTTGAGACGCTTCATCCAGACATTTGGAGTAAGTGAGATCTTCTGTCACACGTTGAAGGAAGGATAGGGGTTCATTAAAGTTAACCTGAAGTACAAAAGTGAACTGTTTAACAGACTGTTCTCAATATGAAATTCAATGATCCCTCCATCAAGTGCAAAAAAGATTAGAACACGTCACTGAATGTGAGACTTTGACTAATCAATGCTTGATAATGGACTTCCGTAATCACGTATACTTACTGCCAATACGATAAAAGCATGCAAGCTTGTAAGTTGACGATATTAAAATCTATTTTACATCTTCTTCCCCTTCTATAATGAACTTAAAATTTAATTATCAAATTGCTTTTTTCTCAAAGTGACGAATTACTGCTACCTGTGTTGATATTTTGGAATTGTCAGCTGGAATCACATGTCAGAGTTCCAATATCTCCAATCGAGGAAAAATTGTGCAGAAGCAAGTAAAAGTGACGAAACTAATTAATGGAGAACGGTATTTTTTAATTAAAAAATGTTTTCCCTCCTTGTATCTCCTGGATTGATCTACTAGTGCTCGTATAATACCAAGAGATTTTACCATACTCTAGTAATACCGAAATTCATTTGCACGAGGTGAGTTTATTTAAGGAACTTCGTCTGCAGTTTCTTGAACCGACCAAGAATCAATTTTGGAATTTGTAGAAATGAATTTTGCAAGGAAGAGCTTGGCTCTCTTTGATAAGGATCTGAGCACATGCTTCTGTAATAAGCCGTTAAGATTTTTGTACTCAAACAAGTAGCACGTCGATATCGTGGCACGCTCTTGAACATGGAGATTGCTTTTCAATTACATTATCGATTGATTATTAACATGGGGATATATTTACCAGGAAACTTTGGTCGAGAAAAGGACAAAAAGATTGCGACACTGTATGCTGCACAATGCCTGATGAAACAAAATCAATGTTGATGCGTGACTTGGCATGTTTATCACCAGGACAAACAGCGAACGCATGCTTCGCTTATTAAAACCAATGGGCTATATCAGTTGTTTTCATTAACAAAGTAAAAGTGCTTCAATTCTGGCCCAGATTCAACCAAGTTTGTATTATCTGCTAGGCCAAAAGTGTCATTGGCTTATTGTCAAGGCCATAGCTTGGGGGAACGGTAATGCTTGCGAACAATTCAACTATATGTAAATTCCATGACAAGTGAGAAGGAGACGGTGTTATGCAATGAATTATTTTCATTAAGGAAGTCAATTTTTTTCTAATTGAGTGCTGCTCGATTGATGTCACAGAAATGATGGCAAATCTTAAAACCTTTCCACAAGTGTCAATTAGCCGCTGGATTCATGATGTTAAAATAGGACTTTGGGAAGCAGGGAAATAGTAAATTGAAAAGTAAATGAGATGGAAAAGATGCAACCAATCATTACTATGCGTATTAGCGATCCCGTGTGCACTCTAATTTCTAATATTGAAAGATGAGTTTGATTTGTATTCACTCAAATGCACGTGAACATAAGCCTTATTATAAGTGTAATTGGCGAAAAAAATCCAAACATGTACTCCACTTGAGATAGGTGCACACAACTATATATATATACCAAATCAAGAGGCCTTGAGTGCTGCATTTTAATGCGCCAATCTGGTTACCTCGCTCTCCTTAACCCCTCAAATAAATTTGCATTTGTAGCGGAATACTTCACTTTCTAACTGCTATTCCCGATACGAAACACAACCGACAACTTTGAGGGAATTGGAATGGGAATATACGGCTCCAGAACTCCATCTCAGAATTATTTTTTTAAATTTAGATTTAGACTAAACTCAAGCAAGAGGGATCCAGAAAAACTTGGCAGGCAACAAACGGAGAAATAAACCCGACTATCATAAAGATGTTTACGACCATTCGCTATCTCTTCGATAACATAAACAAGGCGGCCATTTAAACCATCTTCTGCGTTACTTCATAACGCTAGCAGACAAAATGAAAGAAGTTTCTGGATTCCAAAGATCACTCAAAGAGCCTCGATGAAGGATACCTAACCTCCTTTTCGCTTCTCCAAATCGCATTATTTGCACTTAGCCTGCATTTCAAAGTAGTTTAGATGTAAAAATTGCCGTCTCTAAATAACAAGCTGAATACTTGCAGATGCGTTAACTAAATAGAAAAGTAGAGGAACGGTGAGTTGGAGTAAGTGAGTCAGTAGGCAATCCGAGTGCCACCGAAAGTAAATGAGCCAGATTCTTGTCTGTTTCGGACACCCTTTGCCGCGAAAGCTTTTAGCTTCACTTACTGGCGTAATAATATAAGGATTTAATCAATTTCACTTTTCACTTGTGAAAGCATAACATAATGACAAGAGAAGGATAGTAAATAGCAACAAAAAAGAGTCTGTAGTCTTTACCTACCGGTAGAGGTATTCTAGAGAGCTCTTTGCCAATACAATTTTTGAGAACACCCCACAGATTAAGGGAGATTCGAGGTCGCGGTGGTATGGAAATTCGACGTTGGCGTCTTGATGCTGGTATCATTAGACCAGACTCCCTTAGACTACTGCTACTGCTGGTGGTGGTGGAATCATTCATAGATTCTATCCTATCACTGGAGTCCTCGGATCTCAATCCACGACGCCCATGTCCGTTCAAACGGGTCTGTAAAGGAAAGAGAATGCAACATGAGGGTCAGTTTCAATCGAGCGTGCATGACTGAAATCGAGTAAATAACGAGCACGAATTTTTACAATAAGGGAGGGAAATATGAAGTAAGCCGATAGAAGTCTGCTGCAATAATGACAACATACCATCTGTAAATTGAAATAAGGCTAAAATGCACTATTGGCGGGAGACGAATGATAGATACAAGATGTGAGGGTCTTGAAAGTGGTAAAAATCACACGCACACGAAAACACTGACGATGGGTAATATGAGACTAGCGTGTCTGCTGAAAATGAACAGGAGAGGTAGAGCGCGCACATCTAGCTGAAGGCAGAATCGTCAAAAAATACGAATAGCCTTTAAGCCACGCGCACACCGTGAACGAACGACCAATGAGATCTGTGCAGTGGTGTATGCGTTAATATTATTGCGCGAAGGGTTAGAGCTTGTGTTCATCTCCGGAGGTGATTTCAAAGGATCTGTGTGTGATGTGATACGATCAAAGTAAGAAGAGGAGGAGGTGTAAACTCTCATAAACACTTAATGTAACGTCTCAATAGAACTGTTTATATTTGTCGGCAAATGTGACGCGAAAATTAAAGAATATGATGACCGTGAGTCTACGAAAATGTCATCCAAAACATTAGATCGGCTTTAATCTGTGAAATTAGCCATATGTACCATAAACACCCCGCTTAATATCAGATATGTCTGGGATTAGTCATATGGTCATTTCAAGAGCTGCAGTTAAGCCAAGAGTTATGGAATTGTTTAATTTTCGCTAAATTAACAACGCCATTTAGTAATGGCTTGAATCACCTCGTTTACGTGAAAGATATCGCAAGAAATGCCTATGCAGTTCAATTATACATTAACTTTACGCACATGTTCTGATTTTTTGACATTTACGCTTAAATCCAAGCAAATGACTAGAATTCTTTTGAGCTCCTATGGGGAAGTTATTACAATAACAATTATATACTCATATATCGTTATAAAGCGTGAGTCAGTGGTGCCTTGGTCACTGCGCATGTCTGACATGTAATATGAGAGCTGGAGAATGACTGCCTAAATTGATCAAGGAATTCTCATTAGTATTGTGCATTAATAGCGATTTTTACCATGAACATTTGAAAAAAATATTACCAAATAAAGAAGTACTAATCGCATGAATGTATGTGCTTTTTGTGACATAACCCCATCCACCCACCCCCCACAAGCATTCGTTTCATAATCTACTATTTGATAGACGTGCATTGATCATCACCACACCGGTGCAAAATTAAATAAAGTTGCCTATTGTAATACTGCATATTTCAATATCAACGATCATTCTTAATTGCTTCAAATTCATACTCTGTGTGATAACGGTAAAAACTATCTATTATCCCATTGCGTTGTATCAACTATAGAGGTTTTGGATGATGTAGCTTCAGAGAGTGCGACAGAACAGAACTCAGGTAGTGTGACCTTTAACCTCACTTCAGGGTACTCTCCCATCAATTGTGGTCTAAAGAAATGTAACACTCTCAACTAAATAGGTACTCAGATCGTGGCATTTCACATACCTTTCATCAAAAGAATCATAACAATCTCCGCACTAGTGGCCCTGTTCCCATAATCTAATTATAAGATACTGATTTTCCCTGAATTCACGTAAACCTCCATTGCTGGGAATGAATCCCAGCGTATGAAAAGCACGCGGGAACCATGCGTAGCTCTGAATTCCCACATTACTCAACAAATAACCCTGAAGACCATAAAAATTTATTCCGTAAAATGGTGCCGTGCATATAGGGAATTTGTTAATTTTATTCCGCATTTTTTGATAATTATCGTATTTGAAAGTGATTGCGCGAAAGAACTGGGAGCTCTAAACCGTAGATGAAATAAAGTTAGATTTCACATAATAATGTTTTTTACCTTTTATATACGGCTAAAGCAGCATTTTAAAAACAGTCGTAGTGCTTTATATTACTTGTGGCAATCTTAAAGTATGCAGAACCCAGAATACATCCATTAACAATAACACCCACCCGGAGTAAATGAAAACATACAGAGAGTAGTATTTCAAAGCACTTCGCACTGAAAACTTATTACATTCCATTTTGGAGAGTATTTCATTCCAACAAGAGCAGGTGCACATGGCAGTATGACCAATTGCTCAGTTAAATCAAGCAACAAGTTCGTAGTATTATGGAGTCAACCAGGGAGTAAGGAGTCAATTCAAAACTTCCCGAAGAGAGATATCCCCGTCTTTCCTTAATTCCCATTACTCCGTTTCACGCCACAGCTAGACTCATTTACCGCTCCTCTTACTTTGATGCTTAACCCTTTACCGTCCGGTAGGACCGTACGTTTCTCTATCAAAATAACCCCCATTGGCACTAGGCCCACTAGCAGAAGGCGCTATTGGCGTTTGCAACATGTTCAATACATCTCTATAGCCTTCGTCCGATACCACCAAAACTCATGTCGGCATCATCAGTCTGATGTGAGCCACGCCTGAGTGCGGTAAGGTGCATTTTTCAAAAAAAAATTATCCGGGCGTTAAAAGGTAAATCATAATTTAAGCTTGAAAAAAATTTCTTGTTTTACTACCAGTAGTATGGATAATACAGGAGGATGCATAAATGCTACGAATGATATCCCAAGGCGTCAATACGAAAATTTTCAGCTTCAAGAGGGTAATAACCCATACAACATCCACAGATAAATGCCCGTATAAATTACAAAAGTAAAAACTGTGCCTGTATTTATTGATTCCTATATAATCAGTTAACTGGGGGGGGAGGGGGTGCATTGGAGAAAGTACTCCAAAGAACCGTTTATACAGTCAATGGTGGGTTTCGATTACAATAATTATAGCAAATACCTGCACACACACACACACACACACACACACACACACACACACACACACACACNTATATATATATATATATATATATATATATATATATATATATATATATATTGAAAAACACGGTGGAAAATTAACCCATTTGAGTAGCAATGTAGATCCAGCGAATCAAATCAGACGGCTCTTAAAGAGGGAAACGAGTGAAAATGAAGGAGTGTGAGAGATGACGCCATGGCAGATAGGGATGGAGACTTAGGGAATACTTAAGGCCAAGATAAATAAATAAATAAGAATGAGCTTACTTATTTTTTTCCCAAAATTAGCGCGTCATTATCTCAACAAAATTTTTGGGGAAGGTTAAGGGCGCCCAGTGTTTAGTACATTAACTCTATTCGTTTCTTATTTGATTAATGGGAATCGGATTTCCCCTTTCTGATTCCCGTCAATAATGTTTACTTCAAATCTAGCCTCCAAAAGTGCACAGATTTTCGAGAATAAATCAACTGATGAAAGCGCATTAATCATACTCCAATCTAATATCAGCATCGGTTTGCTAACTAATGCATAAACAGTAGTGGATTTTAATTGTATGTACTATCATGATTACAGTAACCATGCGAAAAAATTGATACTGTATGAACTTCCTACTCTATCACATAAAACAAAATTGGCGATTGATCGAGATGGGGAAATAGAAAACACCCTATTCCTCGCTTAGAACATGTGACGTTGGAAACCTAAGGACTAATTAATCCGATCCGTGATGATGACCAATACAGTTTCTCACCAACTTTGATGAATCACCTGCAGATTAGGAGAACTGAGTACTTGAAGAACAGCTAGGATAGGTTTTTTCGTGTCCTACCAAAAATATTCACTGAAAATTATATGGCCAAATGCTAATTCTTAATTCTAGTCCTTATCTAATCGGAATCAGCTGATTCCCACATCGTTGACCATAAAGGATGGGGTGTCATCAAATTTCTGGTATATAAGGTTCCATATTTCTCTTGCATTGCACAATATCAACAAAAAAATGAGTTATTCAATAGCATAAAACGAACGAAATTATCGCACACCATGTAGGCGTAGATATCTTATTTCGTAGGAAATACTAAGTATGTGTGTATAAGTTTGCAGAGGCTTTCACATGGTCAACTTATTGCAACGCAAACGCACACATGCGATATAGAAAAAAATTGGGAAAAAATTGGGGTTTGCATATATTGTGGCGTCTCACTAAAGTCGAAAGATTGGGGTTGGCGGGTTTTGATTTGTGGAGTTTCAGAGGCGTGAATGGAAAGAGGAAAGAAGGAGTTAATCTTGCCGAGGAGAAGGAAACGGGGAAATAGAGCCGGCATAAAGACCAGTCCCGTAAAAAAACTCTGAATTTTGGGAATAAGAACGAGATTAGAAGTGAAAAATAGGCTTTTAGCTTTTTGATATGAATTTCGTCTGCGCTAATAGATAGCTCAGCTTAATGGAAGAGAAGGGATACGCTAAAAAACAAATATAAAGGAAGACTGAGATCCATACCCACTTTAATTAGACAGTCACCCTATGAACTAGACAATCTACTAAAACTGAGCACAACTAAATCTTCCAGTTGAGGAACGTTAATTAATTGTGAATATGGAAATTTAAAAAAGGGGGGAGTACGGATAAGCCTCAAGAGTAACTAACTCATCAACCGAAATATTAGGTACATCAGCATTAATAATACACAACATATCTAACCAAGACACATGTCCTGACGAGTGAATAAGCGAATGGAGTCATACAGTTTACTTTTCCCCGGCTGTACTTTCAAGGTCGCTTTGATTTACGATCAAGTCGTACTTCACCAGTAAAAGCAATGGATGTACTTTTAAGCTCACTTGTTTATGTGCCCCTGGGTTTCAGTAGGTTAATGGAAAATGATCTGATAAAAAAATACATGCATCCAGACATGTCCCCTGATGTGAAATACGTTTATTAAAGCCTAGTGTTGCACCAACGATTGCACAATAAGAGAAAATGTACTACAGGCTGCTACTCTCTCACGAAAAGGCACACCAATTTAATCCCACAATCATAAACAAAGTGCGAGAAAAAAACGTGACTGTTGCTAATGGGGATGTAGTTTGTTGACATTCTGCAGTTAACTAGTACCAACTGACGCTTCTGCACACAAATAATAATAAAAATAATAGACTTGGGGGGAGGGGACTGTAGACACGTGCTTAGTGCCACTAAAAGCGGACACGAAGGGGCAGTAGAATATTACCGGTTATATTTTGTGTTCTATACCTCTTCACAATTCTCTTCACAGCAAGCCGATAGTGGATCGGGGATTTACCCGTCATGTTGGTATGAATTTGTGCCTACTACATACGTAGTTAGAGTGAGTGTTTAAACGAGTTTACGTAAATGAAGAGGAGTAATGTTGTCATTAGTGCGCGTAAAGAGTAAATAAATTGGCTAATTAACGACCTCATCGAAGGGAAGTAATATTAATTGGCTCTCTCTCTCTCTCTCTCTCATGAAAATTATCAAAATGCTAACCATACACCAATAATTAAGCGCTAACTTTGAATGTTGATAAATTTGAAGATACCTGATTGACTGACTGGAGTAGTTAGAAGTGTTCAAGAGTAGAGGAAGGTGGGTTCTTCCCATCCAAGGTGGCTGGGGGGGGGGGGGAGAGGAGGGAGAGAATATCGCCATGCAATACTATAAGAGAGCCGATTCAAATAACTTGCCATTGCAAATAGAAGATTGTGGAAATAACTATTTTTCGCAGTTAGAACAGTCATCCACACGAAAGTAAGTCAAGCCAAGACCTATGCCAATGAATGCGCAGTGGTATATTCTAGTCAACAATGGAGTGTTATTGCAACCTCCATTGAGGTCTATTTTACCGACTTCATTTTACTTACTAGCTGAAAAACAACTGAGAAGTTGGCAGAGAGCTTTGACCCTCTAAATGAGCAAATCAATCAATGAGGAAAATGGACAATAAGATCAATTATTGGCGATGACACCATAAGAGGTAATTCAAATGCTTTTCTTGAGAAAATTTTCCTCAAATAAATTGCTTGATGAAAGTGATGATTAAGTGTACCATAGAGACACCACTCCTTAGCTCAGATTTCTACTGTATAAGATTAGAATTCGATAAAATTTTCATAAAAGAGTGTCTGAAGTGCAGCAACCTCAGATGATACGTGTGTGGTCGAATCATCAAATCCCACTAAGACAGACCACCCCCAGTGATTACCTGTGAAATAGAGAGAGTGAGAGAGAGAGAGCAGAGTCGAAAAGCCACATTCCCTCAATTTCACAGACTTTCAAAACAAAATATTTACCAAAGCTTGATATTCATGATTACGGTTCATGGTGGCGAAACGGTACTCGCATGCCAATTTAGACTATAACCATTTCATACTGATAGATAATAAAAAAGAATATGAATCACACTTTCAGGGGCTTTAGAATGACTTCCCTTCTGTTCAAAATGAGAAGAGAAAGCCTTTCAAAATGAGTATTGTAGTGAACCAGCGCATCAATAGTGAAGTGATTAACCCTAAGATCTATATATTAAGTGGTCGAAATGACCAAATAAGGAGATATTAAAAAGTAAACAAAGTATTTGAAAGATAATGATTGAAATAGCGAAACCGACACTCACCGTATTCGTAGGGCTAGGAGACTGACCAGGCGAGGGTGAGGAAAGGTAAGACTGATTGCCACAGGGGACAGCAAAGATGCCTTCATCGGCAGCTGCTGTGACCAGATCATCTGCCTCACTACCCGAAGATTCGTCCACATTACGAAGACTGCCGAGGGAGGCGAAAGAAGGATGGATAAGCATCGTGTCATCACTACCCCGTGCTCCACTACCACTCAAACCAGCTCGACTTGGGAAATTTGAAAGGGAGCTCTCGGCGTCAAAGAAGATGTCATCCATACTACTGAACGACCGGATTCCTGAGGACAAACGCAGATCTATAATAGCCATGCACTTTATGAAACCGGTATACATCATATGACTAGGACAATTTGATGTATGGGCATGAGATTTTAATTTCGAGGAGAAATTAGAGCGATCAAAACGAGACATGATGTACACTAATTGAGTAAGACAAGAAAAGACGCATATAGAAGAACTTGTTGAATTTGAGAACAAAAGAACAAGGAATTGGAACCACTTCCCTATACTGTTCATATCTTAAGTATTTACTGGACAGTAATGTTGGGAAGGAATTTCATTCAGAGAAAATCAACACAAAAAAATGAAAATCCGAGAACGAACGCAAAAAAAATCGATATTAAAACAATTCAACGATGACACAACTAGGTGTATTAATGTAGTTTTTCCTTAGATAATTAGATTAGGAATTTACAATAGCATTGTTTCGAAATATCAGGTTTGAATGTAAAAATAGAAGAAATTTAAAGGAAGATGAGGGACTAAAATGTTCGAAGAGGGAGACACACTTCACTTCCTAGTAATACGAGGACTAGTTATTCTTAAGTAATTAAGCAAATTTTAATAGCTCAAGTCAGAAGGATATCTCTGATTTCACTTTTCCACTCAATAAAATCAATTGAAGCCTACACATCATCTGATCTTAGACACCCCGTCTCTTGATCAAGTGCGTCAATTAAGGCAAAAGCAAACACTGGATTAATATCGGGCTAACTGAAGAATAACAAACATCTGCATTGCTTTTAATTGACTTTTAATTGTATGCTGAAATTAGTTTGGAGAAGGGAGAGGCAAGTTGTTTGCACCAGTTAGTTCCAAATATTTGGTAGTGTTTCATTACCTGGAGGTGAAATAAGGAAAAGTACCTTAATATATAGTTTATGTATGCTGGAGAGTTTTATCATAGGAAGCATGGAATAAAATATTTATTTTTTTTAATCTATCAAGTACAGAGAATGGAAAACGGTCATAAAAAAGGCGAGTGCATGAACGCCAACTAGGTAACGAAAAGGTGAACACGTTGACATGAGATGAAATACATGTATAAAGTAGCCTAAACGTGACAAATCAGAAATGAGGAATGCTTAAGCAACAATGTACTCAAACAAGAGCATGTTTTGGTGCAAGAGACCAAGGAGGTTAGGTCGAGGAGAAAATGGGGACGAGGCTGTTTGTTTCAACTTTAAAACTCAAAATTATTTACGATAAAACGAAAGCAGCTGCCAACTTTCACGAGTTACATATGAAATAAAAAGAAAGAAACGGTAGCCTGAAAATCTCAAACTAAAATTTTGCCAGAGAAGTAGTTTATTACTGCTTAGCGAATGGCAACCACTTGCCCTAGAATCAGAAAGGATGCCTCATAAATTACCTAAGGGTTTCTGAACGTCAAAAGACCACTCCATGATTATCACAATCATTTTACTACACCTTGGTTAAGCAATCTAAGCCACTGCGGTAAACCCCCAGAACCTATCAACCAATGATCGCCTTGATTCTGGCAGCCAGATCAAACCCAGAGATGTGAGAAAGAGGGAATTTTCTTAGTTGTAATGGGAGTTTGGAAATTTCGTATTTATTTACAATTATTGGGATAACTTTTGACTAATTTGAGGTACTGTTCAAAGAAGTTGGAAGTGTCATAGCCAAGAGGAAGTCCCCTCTCCCCCCCCCCCGCAACCCACTTTAGTTCCTCTCTTAACGTAGCCCCCGAAAAATAGAACTAGTACAGGAAAAGTAGTATTAATAGAAGGAGAATTCCTTTCTTCCACTTTTGATAAACGTTCTAAATACTGTATCCTAAAACGCGGATATTTAACAAAATGGGTGAATTACCAAGAAGGGAAAGATGTCCCCTTCCGCTCAATGAGCCCTTACAACAATTCAAGCCCGAAGGAAGGAGCGGAAAGAGGAAACGGAATTACATGTCCTATTGCCGTTCTACCCCCTCTTCCCCCCCCCCCCTCCCCACACCCACTACGCCCTTAAAAAGTATCGAAATGCAGAGCTATTAAAAATGTCCTAATAGCAAGAAATTTATAATAATTAGTATTATAAAAAATGGAAAATATATGTATTATTGATGTACAAAACATTCCGTACTTTACTGAATTTAGTTGAAGATATCATTGTCATGCCATGACAGTACTGGGGTGATAAGAATGGGTAAGGTTCAGATTCGCTGATCAAGGAAATGCACTAGCCTTCCCGAGGTGTCAAATACCTCCATAAATGAAGACTTATAATTATTTGTGTACTGAAAACTGTTCCTTCTAGCATACTGATAATTGGGTGATAGACTTAAGCAGAATTGACTTCCCCCTGTAATCAAGTTAAACTCGTTTGTCCACCTTGACAATTGGATTTCGAACAATATATTGGGATAAATTAAAGTCCGAAATATTTGCTCTTTGTGTGTGTGTGTGTGTGTGTGTGTGTGTGTAATTCCCAGGGAGTTACGAAAAGTAAGGCTTATTTGTAGCATATCAGATGAGGTAGTCGACAAAATGTTTTAAAATAAGAGGGTAAGAGAAAATGACATCTGACAAACAGAACTCGGAAACTTACGTCGAGTGGGATCTTGCAATTGAAGTGAGGTAGAAGTCATAGCACTGATGGATGGCATCGGTGAAGTGGGACGATTAGTGCCACTGGAGAGGGAGGCGTAACTGGAACAGAATTGTGTCTCTAATGCTCGGTGTTGTTTGGCCAATTGTTCAACTGTTCGTTCCAAACGCGCGCTCTTATCATACTCAGAAGCTAACTGACGTTGGAACCACTCTGTCGATGTTGTCCATGCGGTCATTGTCTTTTGGCAAGCCTGAAACCAGATGAGAAATATTTGCATGCAATCTACAACGATTTTCTTGCATACGACTTCCTAACTGGTAACAAATAAGGAATTTGGTGACTCCCTTTCGATAAAACTGCACGTTAACATACTGTTGCTGCTGGCATCATGACTACAATACTTTACACCTCTAAGCAACACTATCACCGATAGTAGCCGAGAGGTTTACGTCACACCACATAGAAGATTCTTTTAGTTTACACGCCAAGAGATACAGTCGAATCACTTTCACCTGCATGAACGTTTTTCTTTAATAGAAAAAGTTCAATAAACACCCTTAACCACTTTGGAGCAAGCATTTACAATCCCCTGCTTTTTAGTAGAAGACATCATAATGCTGTATGCAACTGTTCCACCAAATAGTTCAACGGCTAGCAGAGATTTCAACAGTAAAACTGCTAGAAGAAATAGCTACTACTTCTCGCCGATATCAATGTTTCTTCCTCAACTTAAATGCCAACGTTCTTGTAGCTAAAAAATGTCTTCAGAATAATTGAATAAGTCTAGTTTGCAAAAAAGGCTACTTATATAGTGATTTAATTTGGATTACATTAGATCAAATTATTTGGAGTTTTCTCTTCCAGGAAAAAATTACCGTAAATAAAGAAAGGTTCAATGTAGAGGTCAATTTAGTTAGTGTCAGACTGCAATGACAGAAGTTGACCCACTTCGTTCTTACATCACAACCACCCACGATTTGTGATTTGACATATACTGACTAATTTCTTGGTTGACAACATGGAGATTAAGTTGAAAGCATAATGCCGCCTTAGAAACTAGTTATAAGGCTAGATGAAAAACTTGAAGATCAGAGATCAAATGATTTTGCAACAGTGTGTAGTCAAGTGAGTTTACTTTCTACGCTCTAGAGATGTGGTTTGAAGGAAAGGGGATTAGTTAATGAAACATAGTGCATATGCATGTCGCCTAAGAATTGAGACAATAAATTGAGATGGCTTCTCAACCATTTGTATACCGTTCTGTTTGTTCAAGTGATTTTAAACATTCCACTAATATGAGGCTGCCTTGGCATTATTACATTGTTAATTAGTGGATTTATCATTAACTTCAAAATTGGAAGTCAAGTCTCCAAGGGCAAGCGTTATATAATAAAAGGAATAGAAAGTGGAGCGTACTTGAAAATCCTTTACCTCTGATGCGAAATGTTGTATTACTCGGAAGTATTAGAGCATTGGATTCATAAAATTTGACCACTTTTTCCCTAATAGATGGCGTCATATTCAAGAATATCCAATTTTATGAGATTTATGACTGTGACATCGTCGACGACATCCAGAGTCTATTGGCAAGTTGGTCGCTCCACATTTTTGCATTCTTTCTTTCATCCAAGAGTAGATGAATGAAATATGCGACGGCTTCCTACTCTTCTGTCTAGCATTTAATTCCACATTAAACCAGGAGAACAATTTAATAAAGAAAAACCAACGTGTGCTTGAAATAACTACTCTTCATGCCAAATATTCCAATGCCACATTAACAGTCTCGAAACTACCAATGTGACGTAATTAAGATCGAGAGAGAGAGAGAGAGAGAGAGGGAATGTGAACAAGCATGCCATCGGAAGGTCGAAACTGAAAACAGGGAAGGCAGTTTGAATGGTGCATAGTGAGGTGAGAAATGGCACCACTTCTCAAGTATATGAGGTGATGACAACACATGTGAAGGTGACAAACACATCAGACCTAGATCTCATAAATTTGGCAATGTGACTGCTTGCCGAGATGATAGTAATGATGAATAAGTACAAGCACGTATAAAACATACCTAATAGCGTAATGGTCACTGTGAATTGATGAGAATTAGGCTCTGTGATGCTAAAACAATGCTAGTTCTCACCATCCGACTAGTGCCATAGTTACAAAAAAACACTATCCAATTAATCATTGCAACCAATAAGCTCTTGGTCCCAAGACTGAGTTTTTCAAAAAAATGCCAAAAGAGGAGTGGGGCTCTAAGATGTTACAGTTGAAAGGGCACAGTGTGTTGGATATATCCAACACATCAAAATATATAATATTAATTCGAAGGGAATCTTCTGAAGCAATAACTTCTTTCACTTACTCTATTAGCAAATGAAATCATTAACCTAAAAATTTGACGCTGGTCTACGAGAGAACATCGAGCAGATAATCCTCCCTGCGTATTTCACTCCAACAAGAAATGTAGCAAAAGAAAACTATTGAGAGTACGCTAAATGAAGATTTTCTTATCTCGTATAGGGGTAGGAAGCAGCATTCCATAGCTTCCTGAAACTCTCCTTTAGTCACTGACTTCTGACTGCGAGACACATTTGATTAGGCATGACGTCCTACAATCCGTCATTTTAAGTTCTTAAAATAGCACAATTAAAATACCCTTTGAAGAAAGGTCTGGTAGCCTTGACTACAATTATCAGAGAAGGATGAAGAATTCACCTTTGTAAAGTTTCTCAGCCCGTGTATCTGTTTTTCCATGGACGTGTTTAAATTTCAAGATATTTTGTGCACTTGATGACTTGTTAGTCACAGACGACAATTGACACAATCGATAAAAACAGCAATATAACACAGCTGAATTAATTACAAATCAGACAAAAAATAAAGTGTAGTACCCTTTGAACCAGACAGTTTGCCACTTTTACATTCCTTTCATCAACCGCGGGCTTAGAGAGAGTAAGAGGCGTGATAAGCGTCAACAGAGAGAAAGCGAGTAAGTGTACTTGTCTGATTAGCATTCCCTAGACAAGACAGCTGAGTAACATCGAAAAAGACGGAATTCCTTATTAACATAATTAGTCAGGCAATAATTTTGCGATAAGATTCTGGCTTTAATTAATTGATTATGTGTACAATAGCCTCCAAACCCATTTAAGAAAGTGCTTTTTAACACTCAACTTGGGTAAAGAGCCAAAATCATGGGGCTTCAGTGGTTAAAACCCCGCCCCCCCCCCCCACCACCACCACCAGGGGAAAGCCGAAGCCAACCAAGAGGCTAATGATAAATATCATAAAAAAAAACAAATTTTAATAAACGGTAGAGAATAAGACAATTATTGCCAGGGTGATATTAGTCCCATTTTCCTCAAATTTAATTAGAAGATATTGAAGAATTTACAGAAAGGAGAAGTGGCTATGCTTTTTTATCATTTTGACCCTCTAATGGAGTAGACATTTAAACTAGTACGTAAATTATTGGCAAAGGATACACTTTCGAAAACTATTGCAGCTGGTGAGGAGTCTAATTTGAAATGTATACAACCTAAGTCATCTCTTATTCTACATGTTATGCTTTTTATTACAGCAAAAGCTATTCTCATCATAAAAGTACCAAGTTGTTTGTGTGTCAGCAGCATGTTTCACTTTGATTAGAGGTTTCTTCCCCTTCGAAAGACCATTTTCGTGGGGTCCTTTCTGAGAGAATTTGACCTCCACGACAATTGTTTGAGCTTGTAGCTGAATTATGCAATTAACGGTGGTGGCAGAGCCCGAATTCCGATGTCAGGGTGTTCTAGCACGTTGTTCAGTAGCAGATTCCCTCAGAAATCTGCTGGATGAGCACAATCATTTCAGATCGTCTGTTGAGTTGGTTTCCACAAGACACGCCAGCCTCGCAGTTAGCATTGCACTTCTATTCATGTCGGATTCTTTTCTCACATTGTTGAAAGAACACTGAGCTGTGACCATAATCTCTTTATCATTTTTAATAATACCTGATTTCCTTGAATACATTAGGTGGGTCTCAATCATCACCTATTCGCGTTCTAATTACATTTATGAATGAGGAATGCTTTAAACTTTTAAAGGAAACGTTTTGCGCTAGAACACCCATAATAGCATCTGGGAAAAAAACAACCAATATGAATTCTGGACAATTTACTCCGAGCATACTGTACTTTGAGGGATTGTCTAACTTGAAACCTCAAAAATGTGGAATCCGTTTAAGTCTCTATTACATTCGCCTTAGTTTGCGACTAGCGAAGAAGATTATGCTAATTTTAAAAACAAAAAGCAGATCAATTTGGTTTGAGGTTCGGTAATTACTCAGGCATTTAGTTTTAAGACAAAGTAAGCTTTTGGAGTAAAAATGTCAACAATCATCATCTAGAGATAATTACAATCTTTGCATTTCAACAACGCCTCTTGACGTTGTTTCACCAGTATGGTTGATCATGATGATCATGACATCGCGCAGACGATGCACGTTGATCTCTGCACAGCCGAAGCACGTGGAAGACTAAACAAGCTAACAGCACTTGACTTCCGTCAGCGCACGTCATCATTAAAGAATGACCAACATGTTGAGCACAATGTCAAATATAGCTCCAAAAGAACATAGAACAAGAAATTGGGATGACGACAAATACCAGCTAATACTAATAAATTCCTCTTCAGACCATATACAAACCGTCCAATATACTCCTCAAATGCTATATTAATTCTCAAATATACAAGCGCTGGACAAATTAAACAAATTGAGATTTTTTGACTTAAATTAAAAATGTGCTGACGTAAAATGGATGCATGATAATTTTCAAAATCCAAAAAGATAGAGACCTATGCAAGACTTAAAAGCGAACTGTCTTATTGGATAAGGGAATATATTTGGCCCCAAAATAAACCCTGACTTTCATCATTTCTGCAGTTGAAAGACCAAAATGTCAGATCTTTAAGGGGGGGGGGGAGGGGTGGTTATGCCAACCCTATTGATTCGCAACGCTCATCAAACTTCAAGGTAGGACACTACGACTTGAACCTAATAAATACAACGAAAGCCGAAATATCTTCCAACTTAAAAAGAAAATCAGCGGGCAAAAAAATGAGAGTTTACCAACAGATATTATGGATTTTTTCTCAAGCTGCGCGTTGGAAAATACAGACTTAATTAAGCCTGAAGCTTAATTCGCAAATTTCGCAGAAAATAACATTAAATTGACCTCACTTTAACAACGATAAATACTTATAACAGTTCATCACTAACAATTATTGGCTGTGAAAGTAAAGGAATCTTCATAACCATAGTCTAGAATTAATTGGAGCAAATATACCACATGAAAGGGGTCACTGGAAGTCATCGATTTAACATTCAAATATTTCCAGCATCAGTTCCAATGTAGGAATATTAAAAGTCCATTTAAGTACTTTAAGAGAACTCAAAAAGGCTATATCTCTGGAAGATTAAATTTCATAACTAATGCCCTCTAACGGTTTTTTTCAATAGTAATCTTTATAGAGAGTAGGGACTAACTAGCAATCATTAAAGCTTCATTTGAACAAAATGGAGCATGATCAACGTACTAAACCACTATTCAAGATTTACAGACTGCCATAAACATCATTATCTACTTCACCCTCAACTCAAGCAATTTGCTGGTTGGTCATTTCAAAACATCAAACCCAGGAAATCACTCAAGAATCGGGCAGTCGAACCACAAAAAAAGTAACTTAGAAAATCAAGTAATCTATACTCCTCATGAAACGCCTAATTCAAATATAGTAGGCCTTGATATTGCAACTCAATTGGTTTATTATTTTGATGGTAGTTACAACAAACCTAATGCATTGCAATCAACTGTAGCCCAATGCAACAATCATTTCCCCCTTAACCTTAAAATATGTCCGGCTGAGAATAGTCAATCTAGACCAGTTAAAACCTCACTAACAATGCTGCAATTGTTAAACTGCCGAGAAAATTGGATAATTCCCACTAAAAACAACTAAAATCTATGGTTAGAGAGGGATAGAGTGTACCTGGCCTCGAAATGTCAATTAAGTAAAGTGGCTGCTTTGAGGACAATTTGTGTTAATGCACTTGCTGAAAAAGTACATTACGAACCGATTAAGTGATTCTTGCTAATATAGTAAAAAAATTTTGGACGGCCAAAAGATATGATTGACAATTCAAAAAAATTTTTAGCAAAGTCTAAGTGCTAGAAGTAAAATTGGACGAAATTTGCAGAGAGAGAGCATCTAATCTCTAGGACGGTCGACTTACCTCTACAAGTTCATCGATAGTCGAGCGAAGATTAACAAGTTTTCCAACAATAACACCGGTATTCGATTTACTTTTATCCGTTGCACTAGCAGTAACGTCCCTTATTGATTCCACAACATGGTTGGCATGGGTGATAAAGCTATCAAAAGCTGAATCGGCAGAATTCAGTTGGTCTTGAAATTCCCGCGTAACACAGATTTCATTAGCTAGACCCGAATTCAACACACGCCGTCTTTGAGGGGAGTATGTGAAGGGAAGAGGTGATTTCACGGAGCTAATCTCCGAGGTACGAGAGCCGTTGGCTAGTGGAGACTGCATTGGGGAAATTGGGTCCGATTTCCTTTTACCAGAGTGTCGACTCACTATAACGTCCGGTGAGGTGCTCTCTTCAGTTGTTGAAGAGACTGCCAGAGTTGAACGATTTTTTCGTCGAAATCGGCTAAATGATCGCCAACTGGATGTCGCACTCGTGCTGGAATTGTTATTCTGTGATACCTTTCCACTGTTCCTTGAACGAACATAGGAATTCATGTCGTCTGAGCAGCTATCCGACTCAAGACCTAGTAAGAGAGAGAAAAGATATATTTATAACAGACAAAGCATACAAAAGAATGCTTGAGAGAAGGAATGAGTTCAAATAGTTGACATGGTGATTATCCTCTTACTATCATCAAACGAACAACAAGCAAGCAATCTCATTTTACAATCTAACAATTTTAGGCATCATAGTAACAACAAGGACAGTCACAAAATCATGTGACGAGAACCATGAGAAACGAGAGATTAGCGAATGGAATTCAGGTGCTCTGATGATGATTTCAACCACTTAGGTGCGGAAAAAAGAATCGAACAATGCCATAAGAATGTATGTCTTTTTCAAGAATAGCATTGAGGTATGCGTGTTACAAATAAGGTTTAAAAAACGAAACAAGTTTAAGTGCATTCGGAATGCATTATGGGTTTTAAATTGATGTGACTAATTTGGTTATATCACTAATAAAAATATGTATATAGTAAGTAAGGAAGGCGTGGGTGATCAAAAATATCAAAATAAAAATATGTCTTAACAAACAAGAGTCACCATTATGAGATTTAATGAGCTTCGACTTAGCAGCCGTTAGAACGTTCATCCAACGCCTCTTATCTTGTTCATTCAGAGCTCTCAAATGGTAGGAACGACCACGAGCTTCGTGAAGAATGAATGAGTTTCCTGAACCTTTTGAACTGATGGCTATATTTGTCAGATCAATAGTTCCCATACAAGTATGCGAAACAGCTTTCGGATGGCTAGAAAATATATACATATTATAAATGATGGCATACCTGTAATATGATAATAATCCATTTTCCAAAACAAACCATCTCTTACGATATCCCTTGAGGTAGTTTGTCCACTTATATAGCCATCCGGATGGTAATGATAAAACACTGTCTGATTCCATCAATAAGAAAAAGCACCGAACTCGATGGTACTTATGAAGTGACCGCTAAGTTCAACGAAAAGTTATGCGTGTTATCAAGAATTTACCAATATTATTTAATTTAAATTAAATTAAAATTAAAAGTTTAATTGCAAAATTTTGAGACATCAAATTGGATGGTTTAAGAACTTTCAATCAATAGCGCCAGAAATGAAAGCTTCGATTTTTGTAGGTTCTCAAATGCTATTTATTTTAAGTTTTTCTTTTTCTTTCTAAGTGGTGTATGTGCTAATCATACAAATAATTGGGCTGTTCTTGTTGAAACCTCCCGGTTTTGGTTCAACTATCGTCACACAGGAAATGTCTTGGGTGTATACCGCAATATTAAACGAATGGGAATTCCTGATAGGTTTGTTAAATCGTGCATTTGTTATTCCTTAGTCAAATTATTCTTATGATAGGAGATTCGTATGCCTGTAATTCAAGGAATCCACGTCCAGGAACTGTTTATCAGAGCGCATATAATCCTATCGACCTCTACGGTGAAGATATTGAAGTTGATTATCGTGGATACGAGGTTACTGTGGAGAACTTTATCAGAGTTGTAACAGGTCGTCTGCCGGCTTCTGCTTCAGCTTCTAAGAAGCTAAATACTGATCAATACAGCAACATTCTTATATATATGACGGGACACGGTGGTGATGGTTTCCTGAAATTTCAAGACGATAACGAGCTTTCGAGTGTAGAGTTAGCTGATGTAATCAATCAAATGTGGCTTCGTCGGAGGTTTTGAAATTGAGATTTTGTTAATCTTTGTTAGGTACAATGAAATTCTATTGATAACAGATTCTTGCCAAGCCGAATCTATGGGCGCTAAGGTGTATTCACCAAATGTTATAACAGTAGGTAGCAGCAAAATTGGAGAAGACTCTCTGGCGGTAAATAATTTCAAGTTTTACTGCTTATTTTCGAAATAGCATCATTTTGATACCACTATTGGCGTGTTCGTCGCAGATCGCTACTCTTACTATGCCCTCCAATTCCTTGAAAAGTTAAACCACCAGAGCAAGAAAAGTATTATGGAATTCGTAAGTTCGTTAAATTATTTGAAATTAATATTTAAAGTTTTTCAGGGTCTATAACTGGTTCGTTTTGTCTAGTTGAATCTCTGTTCATTCGATATGTGTAAATCAACGGTCATGTATAGAACTGATTTGCTTGTCTCTAAGCCTCAAAGTGTTCTTGTTACGGATTTCTTCTCAAGCTCTCATCACATCGAAGATGGGTCATATTTAATCTCTTCGGGAAAGACTAATTCAACAAATGAGTCAAAGATTTTCGCTGAAGGGTGTGTTTATTAGATAATCGTTATTAGTTTATTGAGTCCATTGTTTAATTCCATATGGTTTGTCTCTTTCAGTGCGTCGAAAATATCCCAGAATATAGATTCGCTTGCCTTTGTTCAACCATTTCCATCTGACTTGATGGAATCTTAATCACTTTACTGATAACGGTTTCTGCCATATTATTATCAATACCATTTTTATTTTTTCTTTTTTACGTTGAATTGACATTAAAAAACTATTAACTCGATAAATTTCCGTTTCTTTCATAGTTAACTAATAAAAAGGCCTCTTGATACAGTAAAGAGAATCATTCCCAAATTAAATCTCGGTTGCCGTGCCATGGTTTGGTTATTATGTACCTTACCCTTATCTAAGGTTAGGCATTGCTCTATGTCACTTTTTCTATGTATAAGCCAATTTTCCCCAAATTTCTCATTAATATGATATTGCACCATATAGGAATCTATTTTATCTACGCATCTGTATTTCTGTTTAATAATTAGGAAACTTGAGCATACTCAAACTTCCTTCAAGAAACATACCCAGTCATCGTGTGTAATGTATCAGTGAAAAAATAGCTTACTTTATCACCTCAAATAGCCTACTTACAATAGGTGTTTCTGACAAAACTGTAAAAATGGATTTCTGTTAATGTGGAATACTATCAAATTTGTCTTGAATTCGAGAATATATAAAGAACCGAATGCCTAAAATGTTGTATCCTCGAAATCAGCTTAGAATAATAACAAATTGACTTAGTTTTTAAAGGGAATTTTATATAGATGTCATTAGAATAAGGTGCAATTCATACCCTTATGCAGTTATCGAAAAAGTTTTAGTTTCTGCATGACATTGGTATACAACGCGCATATGACTAAGTATCTAAATTAAAGTAAACCAAGAAAGATTAATGAAGTAAATATACCTTTTTACTGAAATAAGGTTAAAACAATCCAGATAAATGCTACATAATTTTTTCGAGTTTAAGAAAATATCAAATTCCGATTATCTATAACCAATACAAAGCCATTGGAAAGAATAAGGGACAGTTATGAAATATTCAGTTACACAAGTGACGATTGAGGAATATAAGGTATGAAGTGTGCTTTGGAAAGAGATAGACTTATTGTTTTTCAAATGTATATTCAAAGTATCGGTTATGTTTCATTTATGAATGCATAAATTCAAAAATGCAACAGATGATTAATTTTAAATTAATCTCATATTCATTCAATATTTAACTAAAAATTATTCCACGTCCAAGAGATATCTTAGAAATCACTTTAACTAAACTATCAATGTAAATGTGCTTCGCTCAAATATTGTTGAAAGAGTAAATTGTAAGTTAGGTTCTAGATGGCAGTTGTGATTTCTTTTAAAATTGGTTATTCTTATTATTTGATATATTGTATTGATTACGAAAAAACTAATACGTTCATTTCGTTTTATCGTCTTTTGAAGCTATTTGTATAAAATATTTTCTCCTGCTCGCCTATAGCTGAAGAGTTTATTTGAATTTTCCTGCTGGTTTCACTAATTTTCTATTGAACTCATTAAAATGAAATTTTCTTTCTTTGCAGAATTTTGATTGTAATGTCAATGAAAGATTTCTCTGATATTTGTGACAATCAGAATGAAGGAGCTATGGAAATGGAGTGGAATCCTAATGCTGTTCGCACAGCTGATACTGCCGTTGAAAGTAGCTTGGTACGTTTATATTATAAATCTTGTATTGTGTATAATTTTTTTTATTCGCACTCCTATCGGACTTTTTAGATGGCTCAGACCAATCTCTCCGATTCACCAGAACATGAATCTTGTGATGCTAATGACCCCGCACGACCTTCAGGAGTTATTGATTATATGTTCGATGATATTGAAGATCCGCGGGTAAGTTAACTATTAATCCGATTTAATCTGAGCTTCTCATTGTTTGACCTATTTTGTCCTTTAACTATACTTAGGCCATTGACTTGAAGAAGGAACGCCGAGTAAGTTAATCTTGGTCTAATTTACGTTATAAAATTTAAAAATGCCTTACCTTCGTTTTATTCTTAGCTCTTAAGCGATCCCGTCATAATACGTTGCTTACCCTGGAGAATATTGTTGGTATTTTCTCCCGAACGAACTACAATGGGATTGTTTCTGCAATGCAACGATAACAGTCCATCTCACAATTGGACCTGCACTGCTCGTGCCAAGTTAGAGTGTATTTCACATACCAAGCCTTCAATCCGTAAAACTTTTACCATTCGCCATACATTTGCTGCAAAGGAAAACGATTGGGGTTATCAGACTTTCCTCCCTTACGACGACCTATTCAATTCCGATAAAGGCTATGTGGTGAACAAGAGACTCCATGCTCGTGTTGAAGTTGATGCTGATGCTCCCCATGGAACTGATTGGGACTCGAAAAAGTATACTGGCTTTGTTGGTTTAAAAAATCAAGGGGCTACTTGTTATTTAAATTCAGTTCTTCAGGCTCTCTATTGCACAAATTCCCTACGAAAAGCGGTTTTCCAGATGCCCACCGAAAGCGACGAAATATCTACCAGTGTTCCGCTTGCCCTGCAGCGTACTTTCTACGATCTTCAGTGCTCGGAAAGAGCAGTTGAAACCGAAAAACTTACTCGGAGTTTTGGTTGGACTACTTTGGACTCTTTCATGCAACACGATGCTCAGGAACTCACTCGTGTTCTCTTGGATAATATGGAAAGCAAAATGAAGGGCACTGCTGTTGAACGCATTATTCCCACATTGTTTTGTGGTAAAATGGTCTCTTACGTCCGTTGTAAAAATGTTGTTTATGAGTCGAAGCGGGAAGAGGAGTTTTATGATATTCAATTGAAAGTGAAAGGTAATAAAGACGTTTACGCTGCCTTCGATGAGTACGTCCAAGTTGAAACCCTCGATGGTGTCAACAAATATGACGCTGGAAGTCACGGTCTGCAAGATGCTGAAAAGGGTATTAAGTTTCTTCGCTTCCCTCCTGTTCTCTACTTGCAGCTTATGCGATTCCAGTTTGATTTTCATTCGAACACTAACGTAAAAATCAATGATAAATTTGAATTCCCTTACGATTTGGATTTGAGTGATTACCTCGTGGAAAATAATGATCAACAGACCAATGGTTTGCCAAGATACACCAAGTACTTCCTTCAAGCAGTCTTAGTGCATTCTGGAGATAATCATGGAGGTCATTATGTAGTATACATCAACCCTCGTGGAGATAACAAGTGGTACCAATTTGATGACGATGTTGTGTGCAGCTGTAGACCTAAAGATGCTATTGAAGCAGTAAGCAGTATTTTTTTAATTCCTTAACTTTTGCCTGTCCTTATTCATTAAGTTTTATGTTGTTATTTTTCGTTGTAGAATTATGGAAATGGTAATGAGCCCGATAATCGCGCCTTCACGAACGCCTACATGTTGGTGTACATTGCTTGTGAAGCTAGGGAGGAAGTGCTTTCTCCGGTGACTGATGACATGATCCCCTTCAGTCTCACCAGTCGATTTTGCGAAGAACGTAATGTGGAAGAAAAGGAGCGTATTGCCAAGGATCATGCTCATGAATTCGCTACCATCAACCTTCTCTTCGAAGAGGATTTTCACGGTTTTGAGGTTAGTTTGTACCGTTGGGTTGGAGCATATTTTTCATAATCTTGCATCTAGCTTTGTGTTGATCTTTCATATCACTCTCGCATATGAGCAAATTTGCACCCTAACGCTATGCTGTCAGCCATCAAGTGCCTATAAAATGATGTAGTTGCTATCTCGTTCTATTTCAATGCATCTTTTTATATCGATAACTTTCCTTTTCTACCTGGTTTTAGGCGAAATCACGGAGGTGTATTATGTTTCAACCCTTTGTTTGATCTTTTCAGTTTTTTTTTCGTAAAGTACCATTTAATTTTTGAACCTAGAAGCTATATCGGTCTTAGGAAAGTACTCTTAGACCATTATGTTCGTTGCTGCTCATCATGGACTCATCAGTTAACCTACATGTCTCTGAAGTCTGTGATTATGTCTCTGATGACCAACTCTATTGGTTCAGTTCCTTCAATGTAATTTACAGATTTCAAGTTCTATATTTGGGTGGCCCCTTGTTAAATGTCGGAAGAGTTTTTTTTAAATGGGCATAAATTATATTCCTTCAACGTCAGCGGGTTCCGAAAGCAGTGTATTTGACGTAATCTTACTGTATTGTAGTTTCATCGTGCATTCAACTTTTGTTATTTGTTATCATCTTAACTCTGTGATCATGCCATTTTTCTTTTCCTTTACCATCAAGTAATTTTAACCTCAATAATCCCATTCCACTGATTAGTAATTTTAAATCCGTCCCATTTACTATTGCACTATGACAGTAAAAATTGTTATCAAGTAAACTTGAGCAGCTTTTCCTAATTACTCGGTTTCAATTTAACCTCAAAGACTTTTGTCTTACCGTTTTGCCGCAAACACCTTTTATTACCTTGTGCAATTAATATTTGTATTTCACTTGATCATCCTTGTTAGGCAGTATTTTGTCTCTCTGGATTCTAGGATACCGAGTTGTTTCGAATCAATGATGTTCCTGTTAGGTCACTAAAAATCAAACGCCAAGAGGTAACTGAGGCCAAATTGACCGAATCCATAGGGGAATTTCTCAAGTGTTCACCTCACGAGTTTCAATTATGGCGAGTTATTTACACGTAAGTTGAGTGATTGTACTTGATCATTTTCATTATTTCTAGCTCATTTATCTCATCTTCAATTATGCTTTCATCTCAATAGGAAGGCAGGAAACATTGAGTTTAGTCGTAAACTAACAACGAATCTTCCCTCTGAGAATGTATTAACTCTCTGGATTCAACAGCGCAGCCGGGCCATTTTCACCGGCTCTCCTGTAGCTGATTGTTATCTTTGTTTCTTTAAGTACTTCGACCCCAGCATCTGCACTCTATGTTATTGTGGATTTGCTGAGTTGCCGGTTTCCAGCAATATTGAAGGTCTGCCTGAACTTCTCAATGGACGTGTTAGTCTGCCTCCCAATACACCACTTGCTTTCTACAGGAAAGACGTCACGTCAACACTTCGGCGTGTTGAGTTGGCTAATATCTTACGAAAGCCTAAACATGGCGAGGTTATCTACTTTCATGTAAGTGTTCAGCTATTCAAAATAGTAGGTTTTATCGACTAGGCTTTTCGCTTGTGTATTTAGTTACTATCAAATAGGATCTACTTCCTATGATTTCATTATCAAATGCTGTTTTAAGCTTCCGTTTTTTTCTGGCAACCTAAGGATTAAGAGTATTTTGATGTATATAAGCTCAGCAAGAATGAAATAGTAAAGAACTTTAGGCTTCAAATCTCAGACTCTGTCAGTCTCAGTATTGTGTATTATGAATTTTCTACTTAATTCTGAATAAAACGGTTAGTTGAAACAGGTTTTTTTCAGAGGCGTCGCAAGAAAGACGCGACCACTACAAGTACATACCTTGTTACTATTATTAACGATTACTATAAATTTGGCTTGGTGTTAAATAGGGCTAATTTTTTCAATGAAACAATTTTATACATAGAAGGGTATATTGTGAATCTTTAGCCATACAGAATACAAAAGCTAATAGAATAAATTGTTTTTATCTTCGAAGGCCTGGGGTTAACATAATGACTTACCTTTTCCCTCTTCTACCCTTTTGCTTCATGGGTTAGCCAATAGCTTTAATCACGTATTTTCACGCTGGTATTTATCCGCTTCAGGCCTTCCATTGATGAGTAATTTTTCGTTTCTCTTGAATTGCGTATCCTGATAATCTATTCACTTTAGCTTTTTCTCAAGTTTATCTTTTCCCCTTAAGATTGATGCAAATCAACCAATGGACGTTGAAGTGAACCCTATCTCACCCCATACATGTATGGATCCGATTGCTGAAAGTAATCACTCAAATCTTGATGACATCCCCAATATGAGTCTTCAACTTCGCAAAATGGCCATCAATGTTGACCAACTGGATGAATCCCAAGAAGCGCTCCCTGTTGCTGAGGCCTTTAATCAATACTTTGACTCGTGCTCGATGTTGGTAAGTTGCTTCTTTTTTGGCAGACCGAATTGAAATCTAAATCCCTTGGGTTTCATTTCATTATCGTCGTTTTCCCTTCTAATTTTGTTTCTTGGTCGTATCTAAAGTGTGATTTGAACATGCTTAGCTTTCAGCTCAATTTTTGCCAGAAATAAGGTGAGATTGCCTTTGCAGCCATCGTCGTAAATTTATTCCACATTCAAGACTGCTCTATATTGCAGTAAAAGATTGTTGTTTTTACAAATGTTATCCTCATAACTAATCATTTCTAACCAAAGCTGAAGAGTTAGGCAATCTCAAAATCTATGGCTCAATCTTCATCGATGAGAATTTCCAAATGATACATCCTTTTTGTCTATTGAACTGGGAGGGGATTTTGGTCTTGAAGCCGAGGTTTCTAAATAGCTCCAATCCTTTTGGCTTTGTCCTTGAAACGTAGGTTTTAAGGTCTTCTGGATGGGACTTGCTTTTCATGACAAGTTGGCAAAATTTGTGAAAGGTGAATTTCTTATCAATGAAACTTCGGACTCCTGATGAAATTGTTGTTATTCAAGCGATTTCCTCTTTTTGTATAAGCATTTAAGAGGTTTGATGCGTTTTGGTTTTGTTTACTACATTTATAAATATTACCTTACGTGTTTTTTCTTACGTCTCCATAGGTTGACATCTTGTTGGTGGACAAACTGCGCAAGTCTGATCCTGGTATTTTGATTCGCGTTTCACCAGAACTCTCCTACTGGGAGTTTGCCAAGTTGGCCTCCTGCTACCTTACAGGGGATCCAAGTTATCTCCGCTTCTTTGTTCCTCATTCATCTTCCACAACTAATATAGCCCTTGCGAATAAGGGTTCTAATGTTGCTGCTCAAGATCTCCATGTATCATCTAATACCCCCGTTGGCCCTGAAACGGGCAATGGAAATAATTACTCACCTAACGGTGCCGCTTCACTCATTTCCGAACAGTCTCGTGCTGCTAAGGCCTCCGGTAATCCTTCCTTCCTCTTGTTTTAACATTTATAACCTATTGAAAAGTGGCTTAACTCCCTATGGGAAACGATTGTTCAGTTTTATAGATTCATTGAGGGCAGTGGGAATGGGATTCGGGGTATCTCAGAACGCCATGTCTTGACTCCAGGTTCCTCAGATTGTCCGATTTCTTTAACTTTGAGATTTATTTCTTAAGTTTGATGTGCATTACTTTTTATTTTATAACTATAACATTCATCTAACGGTCAAAAGGCCTACATGTTGTGATGTTCTTTCGTTTGGATGTACCTTAACCAACTCTTTGTGATTACAAATGTAAAGATAGCAATCTATGGTAGGTAGGAACTCACTATATCGTCTTCCCATATCTAAATGTAAATATTGTTTAATTCTAGTTTTTGGAGATATTAAGTGTAAATTGTCCATGTTTGAGCTAGTGCTAGCTTTAAGTTGGGTAGCATGTCGACTTTTTATGACTTTGATTTTCCTCCCCTCTGTGAAGCCCGAAGTCAGCTGAAGGATTAATGCTAACTATCAAAACGCCTGCCATTTGATATAAATAAATGACTATCAAAGTTTATGCGTTGTGTTAATGCGGGATAATTTTCCACTCTTCGATCCGAATTCATACATTTTCTACAACAATCTGATGAGAATACCACATTCTACCAGGTTTCTTGTTGATTGAAATTGATCAGCTTTTCTGATCTCTCTTATTAAATGATATGCTATCTTTTTTACTTCTCCATTTCAGGCTTCAATGAAGCTTCGGCAAGTCTGGTTGGAGCTTTGGCCAACGCAGCATACCAGGGCCTAGTTCGTGAACCGCCCGGTCCTCCAGTGCTCTCAACTTCTGAGGGTCAACTTCGTCACTTCCTTCAACTCCCTCAAACCTGCGCTTCTATCACTTTCCAACCACCCAATCAGTCTAGTGTAACCGCTTCTCAGCAAGACCGGCCCCCATTGGGTGTCTCCAAATACACCAGCTATCCTCGCATCACACCCTCTCCATTTAGCGCTAATAATCTCCATGTCCCAGCCCCACGTCGTGTTTATTATGCTCACACAGTTCTCCCAGTTGCTCAACTGGAGTCACTAAAGCAAATTCAAGTGGCGTTTTTCGGTCAGAAGCTCTCTGAACGTCAAGACCTGGTGCTGGGTGTATGTGGGGATGGTACTGTCGCCGATATTCTCACAGAAGTAAGATCTCATGCTTCTCTTCCTGGATCAAAGAAGCTACGTCTAATGGAAATTCGACGCAATCGAATCGAACAGATATTTCCTGAATTTTACCCGCTGGAGAAAATTGATGAGTCCATAATAGAGCTGCAATGTGATGTTAATGACAATATCCGATCGGGGTTGAGGGTAGAGGAGGTGCCTAAAGAAGAGGAAAATTTGGAGCAGGGAGACCTGGTGATTAACGCAGCTCACTTCAATAGGACCTCAGAGGATACATTTGGTGTGCCATTTACAGTTAGACTTCGAAACGGTGAACCCTATAGCGATGTCAAGAAGCGTATTCGGGAGAAATTGGATGTGGGGAATGACAAGGAATTCGACGCCTGGAATTTTGTCCTTGTCACAAAGTCCAAATGTATTGCTATCCCTAATAAGGATGATGTTGTGGTTGATACTGAAATTCTCACCAAAGAAAACTTTAGACCTTGGCTTGGTGTGGGGCACAAACCACCGAAACGACCTCGGTATGCACCGAGTGAAAAGTCCATTATAATTCACAATTAAAGGGCAATCATTTCACATTTGTTCTCCCCGTCTCTTGAATCCTCCGTGAGATTTTAAAGGGTGATATCGCGTTTGGCGAAGAGTAGTTGTGAGTTATTTTGCTCATATTCAACTCTATGCCTTGTCCATCCCTCCCTCTTAATCCTTTTCCCTTCCCAATGTTCCCTCATGAACCCACTAAAAACTGTCGAACATTTGTCGCTTTAACTACGCACTTAGCCACACACGTGTTTGAGTGATCAGGGCTTTGTGTTGATATAAAATCTTGTGCTATAAATTTCGAAACGCATTGCGCTTTCTATATTATTTCATCTCGGATCTTGGCCTTCAATGTTGTTATCAATCTGAAATTTGAAATAGGATTTTTAGCTTTCTTTTAACAAATTATATCTACTCTAGTAATTATTGCACACGCGCAGAAGGTATTTACAGTTACTCCATATCAGTTTGGCTCTACATTGCTTGGTGGGGCGAAAGTACAAGTGAAGGCGCTGTTTGATTATAAAATTATGTTGGGTGATTGGTTTGCATTTTTAAATTGCACTTTACCTATACAGGTTCAAAATGAATGAATGTGTGACTAAGACTGAAGAAATTTGAACGTATATGACTCCTTAAAAGCCAATATGCTAGAAGGAAAGTGTCGCCTTTATGCACGCACATTTGTGAGTGTAGGCTAGACAAGCAGGGTGGAATTAGTCATTTAGTTGGATCGGGGTAACCTCAATGTACAAATTCAGCTAAGGTTTTTTTCAAATGGCAGGCGTTTGAATAGTTATCACTTGCCCTTTAGCTGACTTTGGGCTACACAGAGGGGAGGAGGAACATCAAAGTAATAGAATGTCGAGGGGTGGGGAACCGAAGAGTGCTTTACAGCTGTAAAAGAGACAGACACAAAGGCAGAGAAAAAGTGAAGTGAGTACTATGAAAGTAGTCAAATATGGCATACAGTGGGGTCATGGTAATTTGAAGTAAGAAGTCAACTGCCAGTTAATAGACTTGCCGTATAATTATACGTTGCCCAGGGTGCACCACGTGGAGGTATATCTATCGCACACCCCGATTCAGCTAAGGTAGAAATGGAGAAAGACGATTCACCTCATCACTAGCCTTGAGCCTGGAATGCTACAAGTGGCGAATAAGATTAACACCTGAGTTCCTTATAGTATTGAGTTGATAAAATAGATATATTAATAGAATAAAGAATGCTCATTCGATTTTTCAGGAAATGGTGCGGTGTTAGGATTAGGAGTTAATTATTAGCGACCTAAGGCATCACCATGGTAGTCATGGAATATAGATGAATTCTTGGTAACATTGCTCTACGATCACTGACTGAGACTGGAGACCAAAGAGGGACGACAAGTAAAATCGTTTCAACAGTTTGTAATTTATGGGTATACATACAAGACTTCTGTTGAGTTCATGTTCCGATGAAATTTCACTCAGCAACCCGTTCAGTCGCCAATAAACCACTATCATTTACTTAAGAGCGAACCTTGTAGAATTTATCGCTATTTCCAAAACGACCCATCAAATAGGATAGAAGATTGATATTGGTCAATTTTTTAAAGCGGCAAAGACAAATCGGAATTTTGGACTCAATTGTGAAAATATGGAATAAAAAGTTAGCTATATTTGTACGTCGATGTAACTGTAGTATTGGTTTGGAATGAAAATTATTCGCATGTTATAGAATAAGGTATAAAATAAAGCACTATAGTATAATTTCTTTGCTGTCATTAATTTAGTAGATAATCAGGTAGACAATAATTGTATTGATCATATTAAAATATCCACTGCAATGTCTAAGTTGAAAATTAAAGGTCCAGCATGGTTTCATATCTTGATTTATAGATCCTCTGTACACTGCATATTCTTCAGCAAACCTTGAGAGAAATGCAAATCAAATATCCATGGAAATGCTTACGCATTATCCTAATTGTTCAATAATTACGCAGAAATTAATTATTCCCAAACAGCACTCTGCTTTGAAATGGATCCAGTAGAAAATGTTGAACTCGTTAAACTGTGTCCATGTACTAATTGCAGGTGAAGTCAAACCTGGAGTAATGACAACTAAAGAAAATTTTGAATTAAAAAGGTTGCCTCGCGATTTCTTCCATCAGATTATGCATATATCAAAACACATTCTTCAACTCTAAATTATGCTTAATATTCATAAAAGGTGCCTCTGGTGATTTAAATGTAAATAACTAATATACTTGGTAGCAATTACAAAAGATGAAATTAATATAAAAATAATTAAGAACACGATACAATCAACACGGAAGACCTCTAGAATTTCACCAATGAATAATCTTGGAGGAAAAATATTTAGGAAAAATATCGAAACGCTTCTTTTTAGTTTAGTTGCTTTGATGATAAGACCTAAAACGACGATTGTTTACTTTACTTTTAAAACAAACCAATCAGTATTTGTCACCTGGTGTCCCGGTAAGTTTAAGGAATGAAGTGGTTGAAGTCAGTCGGTTTGGTGTGTGTGTTAATTTTTGCTGTTGGCAGTGTCCACAGCGATGGAATTAATGATGAACAGGTGGAGATTGAAAGGGTTTGTTTTTATTTATATGATTAATGTTTAGGCCGTATTCAAAGAACCCAAAGTCCCGGAAGACACACTATTGGCTTTGTTTTTCTCATCGCCTTCTGATATGAAAAAGTAATATTAATTAAGTATATCATAAAAGCATTTCATTAGATTGGTTCTTTCGTCTGCTAGAAAAGAAAAAGTTGATGTTGAACTCGGCAAATATGATGGAAAGTGGGCAATTGAAGTTCCTCCACTTAGCGCAATTGATAACGATTACGCACTTGTCCTAAAGTCTGAAAGCAAACATTATGCTATTGCCGTCGATTTAGGCCGCGATTATGCCTTCAATAAGGATGAATTTGTAGTGCAATATGAGGTTAAATTCACCGAGGGTCAGACATGCGGTGGTGCTTATGTCAAGCTTCTTTCTGCTTCTCCTGACCTTGATCTGGTAACATTCCTTTTTGAATTATCTTCGTTTTATTCATAGAAAAATTTTCATGATAAGACACCATACACCATCATGTTCGGTCCAGACAAGTGTGGTCTAGATCACAAACTCCATTTCATTTTCCGTCATAAAAATCCCAAAACCGGTGAATTCGAAGAAAAACACATGCAAAAGGTCTCTGAAAGATTGGATGACTATTTCACAGACAAAAAAACTCACTTGTATACCCTGGTTACACGAACCGATAACTCTTTTGAGATATACGTCGATCGATTTATCGTTAAACACGGAAATCTTCTCACAGATTTTGTGTAAGTTACGTTTGATTTGTTTGTATGAAGATCTTAATTCATAAATCCTATCTATTGTTTTGCAGACCTGCTGTTAACCCACCAACTGAAATTGATGACCCTGAGGATAAGAAACCTGATGACTGGGATGAACGGGAGAGAATTCCGAATCTGGAGGCCAAAAAGCCCGATGATTGGGACGAATCTGCTCCTCAATTTATCACGGATGATGACGCAGTAATGCCCTCTGGATGGCTTTTAGATACCCCAAAATTCATTCCCGATCCTGATGCTAAAATGCCTGAAGATTGGAATGTGGAGACAGATGGCGATTGGGAAGCCCCGATGATTGAAAACCCCGAGTGCAAGTCCGCCCCGGGTTGTGGACCTTGGGAAAAGCCCACTAAACTCAATCCGAACTTTAAGGGCAAGTGGTCTCCACCTATGATTACAAATCCTAACTATAAAGGGGTCTGGAAACCCAGGAAAATACCAAATCCTGACTTTTTTGAAGATACCCATCCTTACAAAATGACACCAATTGTGGGTTTGCTTACTCTGTTGGTGTTTTCAATCGCAATTAAAAATGCTTATTTTTGTGCGTTCCTTTTAGCGTGCTCTTGGCTTGGAGCTCTGGTCCATTTCAACAGGTGTTGTATTTGACAACTTTTTCGTTGGCACTTCCAAGAAGGCTGCCTTCGAATTCGCTGAGGAAACCTGGGTTATCAAGGAGAAGGCTGAACGCGAAGCTATGCCCCGTGGAGTATGTATTTACCTTCATGATTCTCACTTTTGGACTTTTTATTATGTTTCTAATTTTAGGCCAGTGTTTTGGACGGAATTCGTGAATTATTCAGCCAATATCCTTACTACGCAGGTGGAGCTGTTGTTGGTGTTATTTTAGTTGTTGCTCTTCTACTTTTCTGTTGCTGCCGACCATCACTACGTGACGATGCTCAGTACAAGAAGAGTGATGAACCACAGCCTGATTCTGAAGAAAAGGAGGATAGTGCTGGTGAGGAAGAAGATGATATTGTGGAATCTGATAAAGAAGAAAAGGTAGGATTGAACCCCCTCCCCCACTGTTCATTTTACGCTTTTTGGGTGCAATGTACTTGTTTTCTTTTTTGTAGCCTGACGGTACGGCTACTCGCCAAAGGATTCGCAAGGAGTAATTTCTTTGTCGGCTTTTTACGTGTTTGTTGGAGGGAGCTTATTACATGTACAAATTGGTTTCTTTATCGCCGATCCCCTTTGCCTCCTCTTCAAAATGTTAACCTCTCGATTTCTTAATGCTTGCATTATCCTTTCTTTATTTCATTCCTGTTATCTTAATCATGTTCTCCCTGAAAATTCCAACGCCTCTCTCCTTTGGTGTATTTTAAGTAAATCTCATCTCATTTCCGGTTTGTAGCTAATGGATTTGTGAATGAGTTAACGTCATGGAAATAAATTGTGTTATTGTTCAATTTGGTTGGTGACTACGTTTAACTTTCTTTGAGTACTAAAGTAGTTTCTTTTTCTCTAGTAAAGTTCCTGGTCCGTCGGGGTTAGCGAACCACGAATAATTTAGAGGCTAGTGTATGCAACCTTAAAGTGTTAATTGTCGAAACTACTTTGCTATTCCGGCAAAATCATTCTCTGCACAATGGCAAGTCATAGGTGAGTAAGTTCGTGAACTTATTCGAACATTGGGAACAAGGAGGGGGAGGGGGGGGAAGAGGTGGTAATCATGAAATTGTAGGATCCGAGACCTATTGAGATGAGGAAGGGGGGGGGGGTTTTACGCTAGTCGCTTTCTTTGATCACTGGTGAACATCCAATAAAGAGATCATCTGCTGGCAACCAGGATTTGTACAAGCTAATTCACACTGATGTATTTATTTCAAATGGCAGGCGTTTTGATAGCTATCATTAGCCATTTAGCTGACTTCAGGCTTCACAGAGGGAAGGTTCATCAAAGCAGAAGAAAGTCGAGGGGTGGGGGACAGAAGACCGATTCACAGATGTGAAAGGGGCAGACAGACACATAGGTAGAGAAAAAGGTAAGATGAGTACTGTAGAAGGGGTCGAATATGACAAGCAGTCGGGCCATGGTAGTTTGAAGTCAGAAGTCAAATGCCGGTTAATAGACTTTTTTTGCCGTATGAGTATACGTTGCCCAGGGTGCACCACGTGGAGGTAAGTCTATCGCACACCCCATTCACACTGATGTAAAATGCTACCTTCATATGCACACAAAGATACGCTTCTCGATGGTTCAGGTTTGTTGGCGTAGAGGTAATATACACCTCA